CCAGGTCCCGAGTTCAGGCCCCAGGACTGGCAAAAAAAGAGGAAGGAACACTTGCCAACTCATTTTATGAATCTACACTGCCTAGCAAAAACAGACCAAGATAGAACAACTAGAAAATACAGACCTACAAACTCCATGAAATTACATGTAAAAATACTCAATGAAGTACTAATAGTTCAAAACAATACATAAAGGGAATAATACAACAGAATTATGTCATGGGAATACAAAGATAGTTTTAGTATTTTAAAAATCATTTAAAATATTATTTTTTTCTTTTTTTGCCAGTCTCCTGGGCTTGAACTCAGGGCCTGGGCACTGTCCCTGAGCTTCTTTTGCTCAAAGCTAGCACTCTACCCCTTGAGCCATAACGCTACTTCCAGCTTTTTCTGTTTATATTGTGCTGAGTAATCGAACCCAGGGCTTCATGCATGCTAGGAAGCACTCTACCACTGAGCCACATTCCCAGCCCCTCATTAAAAAATATTAATGGAGCTGGGTGCCTGTGGCTCATGCCTATAATCCTAGCTCCTCAGGATGCTGTGATCTGAGGATCATCATTCAAAGCCAGCCTCGGGAATGAAAGTCTGGGAGACTCTTATCTCCAATTAACCACCAAAAAACCAGAAGTGGTGCTGTAGCTCAAGTGGTAGAGTGCTTGCCTTGAACTGAAGAGCTCAAGGACAGGCCCAGAATTCAAGCTCCATGACCAACAAAAAGAAAAAAAGAAAGGAAGGAAGGAAGGAATGGAGGGAGGGAAGAAGAAAGGAAGGAAATATTAATGGATCAAAGGAGAAGAAAGGGTCAGACACAGTGACTCACACTTGTAATCCCAGCTAGTTGGGAGGTGGGGATTGGGAGGATTACCTGAGCAATCCTAAGGCTACCCTGGTCAAAAAGTTCGTGAGATATGAATCTCAAGAAACAAGCTAGACACAGTTGCAATGCCAACTACTCAGCAGGGGTAGATAGATAGGAGGAGTATAGTCCAAAGAAAGCCCAGACAAAAAGCCTGAGGCCCTATCTAAAATATAACTAAAACAAAAAGAGCTAGAGACTTAAGTCATAGCAGCTACCAAGCAAACAAAATACCCTGAGTGCGACCCCTAGAACTATCACAAAAGAAGAAAATATTGCTACCTTATCAATACATGATAAAATGCATTTGGAGAAACATACTGTACATTCATTATAGTAATGATAATGTGAGTCATCTTAGCAAACTAAAACAGAAGAGAACCATCCTCAACCTGTTAAGATACATCTACAAAATCTATAGCTAATGATTACTGTATGCTTTCCTCTTAAGATCATGCATAAGACAAGATATCTACTCTCTACATTCCTGTTCTGCATCATTTTGAAATACTAAACAAGCTATGTATATTACAAAAAAAAGAAATTAGAACTGTCCTTATTCACAGACAATATGATCATCTACACAAAAAAAAATCCCAAGTCTAGAACTAATAAATGATTTACAAAGGTCACAAGTTACAAGGACAACACACCAAAATCATAATTCTATATATTAACAGTGTATAATTAGAAATTAAAATAAAAAACATTCTATATTATACACAACTCAAATATGAAATACTACATTCTAAATATCGTGTACTAAGGGATTAACTCAGTGGTAGAGCACTTACCTAACATGCACCAGGCCTTAAGTTTGATACCCAGTACCACAAGAAAAAAAAGGCAATAAAAGTAAAAATAAATAAAAAGAATGTACAGGGCTTATATGCTAAAAACTATAGCTAATGAAAAAAAAAGCAAAGCATGCCTGAATAAGAGAGGTGTATCATATTCATGGATTCAAATACTCACCGAATTCATCTAGATATATAACAAAATTCCAATCAAAATCCCAGCAGGATTTCTTTTTTGTAGATAGAGACAATATTATTCTAAAATTTATATGAGAAGGCAAAAGAACCTAAAAAGACAAAATAATACTGAAAAAGAATAAAATTGGAGGAATCACTACTCAATTTTAAAATTTACTATAAAGCTAGTGTAATTGAGAAAGTGAAAAAATTGACATATCCATCAACTGAAGACAGCCCAGAAATATGCTCATATAAATATAACCAAATGATTTCTGACAAAAGTGCAAAGGCAAGGGAGAAATGGTAATCCTGTCCCTTTCAATAAATTGTATTTAGACAAGTGGACATCGACATGCAAATCCAAAAACAAAAGCCTCTTCACACTATACAGAAATAAACTGAAGATATAAATGTAAAATGTATCACTTAAAAAGAAGCACAGGAAGAGCCAGGCATAGTAATGCATGCCTATAATCCTAGCACTACACAAGCAGACCTATTTCCAAAAAAAAGAAAAAAAGACTGGGAACATAGCTCAGTGGTAGAGTAACTTCCTAGCACAGGCAAGGCCCTGAGTTCTTCCCAGTATTAAAAAACATAGAAAATTATCATGCCTGTGATTATGCAAAGAATCCCTAGACATGAAACCAAAGGTTTCAGAAAAGATAATAACTGCTAAAAAATTGAAATATTCCTATGCAAACTGTTCTGTTAAATGAATTAAAAGAGGAACTAAGTACTGTGAGAAACCAGATGCCTGATAAAGGACTCATATACAGAATATACAAAGACATCTTAAAGCTCAACAATAAGCAAATGAATAGTTTTTAAATGTGCAAAACACTGTTCTTAAAAAAACCATTTACCAATGAATGTATATAGATGACAAGGAAGCACAAGAATAAAATGTTCATCATTAGTTATTTATAAAATGCAAATTAAAAGTATGATAGGTTAGTGACTCACACCTGTAATCCTAGCTATTCAAGAGACTGAGCTCTGAGGATCGCAGTTCATAGCTGGCCTGGGCAAATAAACCTAAGAGATTCTTTTTTTTTTTGCTTATGTGGTGCTGAGGAATTGAACCTAGGGCCTCAAGCATGCAAGGCAAGCGCTCTACCACTAAGCCACCTTCCCAGCCCCTTCCTGAGAGATTCTTATCTCCAATTCACCAACAAAAAGTCAGAAGCAGAAGTGTGGCTCAAGTGGTAGAATACCAACATGAGGCCTGGGTTTAAGTCTCAATACTGGCATTAGAAAAACAAAAAAGGACTGGGAAGGTAGCTCAGTGGTAGAGCGCTTGCCTTGCATGCATGAGGCCCTGGGTTCAATTCTTCAGCACCACATACATAAGCAGAAAAAGCCGGAATTGGCACTGTGGCTCAAGTGGTAGAGCACTAGCCTTGAGCTGAAGAGCTGAGGGACGGCGCCCAGGCACAGATTTCAGGCCCCATGACTGACAAAAACATAAAAAAACCAAATGAACAACATATGCTTTACTGTATGACTCAGAAATCCCAAACCTACATATTTACACTAGGGAAATGCAGCTCTGTTTGTAGCCACAACAATCATAATTTATCTAAATATCATTTGAGGGAGGAATAAATAAACTATAGTACATCCATGTACAATGAACATTACTCAGCAACAAGAAGGAATGAATCATTAATATCCAACAACTTCAAGGAATCTCAAAAGCATTATGTTAAATGAAAGTAGTCATTCTTAAAAGATTACAAGCAGTACAATTCCACATATGTGCTATTCTGTAGAAGACATAAATATAATGACAGCAAATGTGACCAGTGGGCAGGCACAAGGATTGGTTTTGATGTTATCACAAAGGGAAAATGTGAGAGTTTGGGGGGACTGTACAATTGTTCAGTGTCCTCATTGGGATGGTAATTACATAAATCTTTAACTATATTAAAAAGTAATCTAACTGTGGTCACATACACAAGTCAATTTGTATGCTAATTTAAAAATAAAACTAGGCCAGGTGCTGGTGGCACATGCCTGTAATCCTAACAACTTAGGAGGCTAAGGTCTGAGGATTGTGGTTTGAAGCCAGCCCAGGCATTAAAGTCCATGAGACTCAACTCCAATTAGCCACCAAAAAGTTGGGGCTTATGTGGCAGAGCACTGGCCTTGAGCACAAAGCTCAGGGACAGCACTCAGGCCCTGAGTTCAAGTCCCAGGACTGGCACACATATACAAAAACTAACTTGCTTTCATGACTTTTAGTTTCATTTTGTAACATAAAATCTCAGTTGATTCCCTTTCTTCCATGCTTAAAAGTGAATCTTTGATTCTTATTTAACATGGACTGGTTTTAAGTAATATTTTATATTACTAAGTGGCGCTATGGCTCAAGCGGTAGAGCAATCACCTTGAGCTGAAGAGCACAGGGACAGCGCCCAAGCCCAGAGTTCAAGCCCCATGACCAACAACAACAACAAAAAAAAACTATTTTATATTACTTATTTTATTGCCTGATAAGTAATACAACTTTTATGTTAAAATTGGCTGGGAATATAGCCTAGCATGTGTCAGACTCTGTATGTGCACGCACATGCATACACACATATGTACACGTACACACACACACACACACACACAAATGAGGACACATCAGAGTATTAACTTTAACAAGTTATTTCTAGGTAAGAAGATTTTGTTGATGTTGTAGGACTTGAATTCAGGGCCTGGGTGCTGTCCCTGAGCTCTTTTGCTCAAGGCTAGCTCTCTACCACTGTGAGCCACAGCACCACTTCCAGTTTTTGAGTGGTTACTTGAAGATAAGAGTCTCACAGGACTTACCTGCTTGGGCTGGCTTTGAACCACAATCTTCTGATCTCAGCCTCCTGAGTAGTTAGGATTATATGTATGAGCCACCAGCGCCAGGCAAAATAAGGAGGTTTTTAAAGTAGTGTGTTTATTTTCCAAATGAACTTGTATTACTTATATCATCAGTAGGTAAAGAAATAACCCTTTCAACTCAGGCCTAGTCATAACCTTGTAAGAAAATTTTAGGGCTTCATTCTGTAAACATAGAGAGGCAAGCAGATAGGAAAAGAAGCTGGGGGACACAGCAAAGAACAGGACATCTGCCAGTGCTGCTAGAGAATGTAAGAAATCTTGGGAAGGAGAAGGCTACCTTACCTGAGATTGCTTGAAAACATCCTTCCCAACAACATCCAAGTTTGAGGGGTCTTTGATGGAACTAACATACTCAGAAACAGCCTTGATTACCACATCACAGGGTGGGAGAACCAGCTGATGAGCTCGGACCTAGAAAAGGCAAGTAAAGGACACTAACATTGAAGGTGGATGATCACTAAAAAAGAGTGAATTGGGCTGCAATACAAAATTCAAATTCAGTAAATCCATGGAAAGATAAACTATTTTCATAAATAGTTTTTTCCCCCTTAATTGTTAGTACAAAACACTTGGGAAGAATTTAAAAGTAAAAAGACATTGAAATTATATCCATAATCCTCCTATAGAGGTAACTACTGTTTAATGACATTGCCATTATTAGTTAATTGATGGTCATGAGAGATTTCAGCTGCTTCTGATGTTTTTGCTGTTAAAAGTAATGTTGTGTAAGCTAGGCTCTAGTAGCTCACACCTGTAATCCTGGTGAGGCTGAGATCTGAGGATCACAGTTCAAAGCCAGCCCAGGCAGGAAAAAATCTGTGAAACTCTTATCTCCAGTTACCCACCATAAAACTGGAAATGGAACTGTGGCTCTGAGTGGTAGAGCATTAGCCTTGAGGGCTCAGAGACAGTGCTCGGGCCCTGAGTTCAATCCCAATGACCAAAAAATAAAAAAGTAATATGATATGTGGGTTCAAATTTGAAGAACAAAGAAGTCTTTGAAAAGCATCAGGAAAATATGTAAACAGCAGATTTAAGGCTCACGATAACAAGAAATTCACATTCATTTTGTTAGAATGTATATATAAGAAGATAATGGGTGTTAAAGAGATGCACACAACAGAGTATAGGAGTGAAATAACTTGATGTTTGGCATTGGCATTGAATTACTTCAGCAATGACAACAAATCCCAGCAAATCTGGCAAAATCTTCACAACTGTTGTTAGATCTATATGATGGTACAATAGTGATTATATTATTGTAGTTCCTCACCAGTTTTGTGATGTTTGAGTGTGTGTGTGTGTGTGTGTGTGTGTGTGTGTGTGTGTGTGTGAATACTAGAGCTTGAATTCAGGGACTAGCACTCTATCACTTGATCCCACAGCTCCTCTTCCAGCTTTTTTGGTAGTTAATTCCAGTTAACTGCTTTAACTGGAATTACTAATAGAGTTTTCTGCATGGGATAGCTTTGAATTCTGATCCTCAGATCTCAGCCTCCTGATTAGCTAGGATTACAGGCTTGAGCAACCGGTGCCTAGAGCTTAAGCACTTTCAAAAGAAAAAAATGGTGCTATAAAGAAATATGGGTATTTGTTGTTCACTCTGCAATTAATTAAAAACTTCCAAATTACCAAGGTAAAGGGTATACTTTTTTTGGTGCTGGTCCTGGGGCTTGAACTCAAGTCCTGGACACTGTCTCTGAGCTGTTCTGTTCTACCACTTGAGGCATAGCTTCATTTCATTTGAGGTCAGAGTCTCACAGACTTTACTGGCCAGACTGGCTTTGAACTGAGAAACTCAGATCTCAGCCTCCTGAGTAGCTAGGATTATAGACGTGGGCCACCAGCACCTGGCTTAGGGTATTCCTTTTATAAAAATCTTGTGGTAAAAATTGATTTTCTCACATGTTATCCCATTCATTCCTTTACTTTACACTATGTGCCAGGCACTGTTCCAGCCACCAGAGACACAGCAATGCCTTTACAGAAGATTAAATTCTAGTGTAGGCATGTTGGGATGAAATGAGAGGAAGCAAACAAACAAAATGAATAAGTAAATGTAAAGTGGGCTAGATGCAGATAAATGTTATGGAGAAAATGTAGTATAGAAGGGATTAGGGAATATAAATATACATATGTAGGCAAGTACAACACACGCACATGTGCATATATTGTTTTAAATAGGATCATCAGGAAAGGCCTACATTTGACAAGATCTCTAGGAATGAGGAAATGGTTATGAAAGAAGAAAAAAATCCAAGTGGAAGGAATGGTTAAGTACAAAAATCTTTTCACTATTAGTGGAATAAAAGAAATACATGACCAAATAAATAGGAGGTCATGAGTACACCAGAGTATAGAAGGTCATGATAGTAAGGATAGCGTATAAACTATATAGTATAAACCATAGGAAGGATTGGGTAAGTGATAGTCACTAAAGGATTTTGGGTTTATTTTGTTTCCCCGCCCCCCAACATTTTTTTGTAGTCCTGGGCTTGAACTTAGGGCCTGAGCATTGTCCCTGAGCTTCTTTTTGCTCAAGGCTAGTGCTCTACCACTTGAGCCACAGTGCCATTTCTGGCTTTTTCTGTTTGGCAGTACTGAGGAATTGAACCCAAGGTTCTGTGCATGCTAGGAAAGCACTCGACAGCTAAGCTATATTCCTAACCCCCCCAAGATTTTTTAGTATCAATTAGTTGTATCCATACAGTATACCTTAACCAGGCTTACCCTCTCCATCGCTCTCTCTTATCCCTATCCTCTTCCCCCATTTCTCATACTGATCACTAAAGGATATTGTTTTATTTTTATTTAGTTTAATTTTTTATTATCCTTAAGTAGTTGTACAAAGGGGTTTCAGTTCAACATATCAGTTCATGAGCACAGTGCATCAATTCACTAGAGGATTTTTTTTTTGCCAGTCCTGGGACTTGAACTCAGGGCCTGGGAAGTGTCCCTGAGCTTCTTTTGCTCAAGGATGGCACTTTACCACTTGAGCCACAGCACCACTTCTGGTTTTCACGTGGTACTGAGGAATCGAACCTAGGGCTTCATGAATTCAAGGCAAGCACTCTTTTTTTTTTTTTTTTGGTCGGTCATGGGGCTTGAACTGTGGGCCTGGGCACTGTCCCTCAGCTCTTCAGCTCAAGGCTAGCACTCTACCACTTGAATACCACTTCCAGTTTTCTGGTGGTTTATTGGATATAAAGATTCTCACGAATTTTCCTGCCTGGGCTGGCTTTAAACCGTGATCCTCAGATCTCAGGCTATTGAGTAGCTAGGATTACAGGTGTGAGCCACTGGCGCCCGGCTTCAACTATGAAATTTTTATATACACATATAATGTACTTTGATCATTATCTCTATATACCTTCTATTCCTCCCTCCCACTCCTCTTGGTCCTGTTCCTTTTCCCAAACGGTCCCATTTCTAATCTTTAAAAAATATGCACATATACATATTATGCCAAAAAAGGAAGATAAAACACATGCTAAAGAACACATTTTAGTCTCCATTTTCCTAAAACACTAAAGTAGAACACAACACAGTTATTTAGCATACAATAATATATATATATATATATATATATATATATATATATATATATATATATATGAACAGTTATCTCCCAAATGATAATTTTAAATTGCATACTCTTCTTTTTTCGTTTTTGGTGATTATCCTGGGGCTTGAACTCAGGTCACTGTCCCTGAGCTTTTTTTTTTTTAGTCAGTCATGGGGCTTGAACTCTGGGCCTGGGCACTGTCCCTGAATCTTCAGCTCAAGGCACGCACTCTACCATTTGAGCTACAGCGCCACTTCTGGTTTTCTGGTGGTTAACTGGAGATAAGAGTCTCATGGATGTTCCTGGATATTAATCCTGGATATTAATCACAGATGTCCCTGAATATAATCTGGATATTAATCCCCTGTACAAATCCTCTGGGTAGCTGATAAAGATTTTTCTCCCATTCGCAAGCTGTCTCTTGGAGCTGATCATAGTTCCCTTGCTGTACTGAATCTTTTTAATTTGATGCAATCCTATTTGTCAGTTATTATTTCCTGAGCTGTTGGGAGTATTCATAAGAATGACACAGCATATTCCTGGATCTTCAAGTGTTTGCCCCAGGGTTTTATGTTTAGTTTTATTTTAAAGATTCACTCTGATGTTACATCATCATAACCATCTGAGAACAGATGAGGGTGTGAGAATAGATAGGGTAGGGTAGAGTGTAAGAAGGCCAACAATAAACTATAATAATAATCCAGACAAGACATAATGATGGTTTGATAAATAAAAGTAGTTATAAATGTTTTTGGGGGGGTAGTTTTTCTTTTTTCTTCAAGACGAGGTCTGGCCATATATTCCAGGCAGGCCTCAAACTCTAGGTCCTGATGCCTCAGACTCCCAAGTATATATTGCCATGTTCAACTGAGCATGGTCTATCATAAAGAAAAAAATCAGAATTGCCCAGGAAGTGTGTGCCAGTTTTGAGCAAAAAAGACAAGCAAGAACACAAGGCCCTGACTTTAAGCCCCAGTACCAAAAAAAGAAAAAGAAAAAAAGAAAAAGTCAGATGCTAGTGGCTCATGCCTATAATCCTAGCAACTCAAAAGGCTGAGATCTAAAAATCAACGTTTGAAACCAGCACGGACAGAAAAGTCTGAGAATTTTATATCTCGAATTAACCACCAAAGAGAAGGAAGAAGAGCTGTGGCTCAAGTGGTAGAGTACCAGCCTAAGTGAAAAAAATCAAAGCAAGAGACTGAAGCCCTTATTTCAAGCTACAATACAGGCACATAGCATAAGAAGAAAAATCCTATTGTTTCCAGGCGCTGGTGGCTCATGCCTCTAATCCTAGCTACTCAGGAGGCTCAGATCTGAGGACTGCAATTCAAAGCCAGGCCATGCAAGAAAGTCTGTGAGACTTTAATCTCCAATGAACCACTGGAAAAGTGGAAGTGGAGCAGTGGCTCCAAAGTGGTAGAATGCTAGCATTGAGCCAAAGAGCTCAGGGACAGAGCCCAGGCCCTGAGTTCAAGCCACAGGACTGGAAAAAATAAAAACAAAAATCAAATTACTCTTGATTTTATTCGCAATCTATTTACTGTTCTACATTTCTTCTCATACCAAAGTCCTCTAGAGCGAGTTGTCTATACTTGTCTTTACTATTTTCTGTTGCTTGTTCTCTCTTCAATCTGATATGCTAAAATTGCCTTCAAGAAGGTCACCAAAACATCTAAGTTGGCAAGCCCAGTGATAAGATTTCCTACTTGACTATTTGGCAGTATTTGACATAGCTGCTCACTCTTCACTTGGCTTTACAACAGCACACTCTTGTTTCCTTCATACCTCACTAATCGCTGTTTTGTGTTGTTCTCTTATCTTCCAACAATGGGGTGTTCAGAGTTCACCCTAGTTCCCTTCTGTTCTAATTGCACACATGATTGATTGCACCTGGGATCATGACTTCATGAACATTTGCCAATTGGTGACCTCTAAGATTTTATCTGTCTGCCCTCTCCTTTACACTCCAGATTTTAATATTTGTTTACTAAACATATTCGTTTATATATCAAACATGTATTTTACAGTAATATTTCCAAATGGAAACTGATTTTCCTTTAAAGCTGTTCCTTCCTTATCTTCCCTCATTTTCCTTAATGACAATTTTATAATTCCAGTTTTTTAGGTTAAAATTCTTGGGATCATTTGGACTTACATCTCTCATTCGTATAGCTCACATTAAGTCTGTTATAAACAGCATTAACTTTCCTTTCAAAATATGTCTAATTAACCTCCATCATTAAGAAAAAAAAAGAGCTGGGTGCAGGTGTCTCATGCCTGTAATCCTAGCTACTCTGAAGGCTGAGATCTGAGGATCACTGCTCAAAGCTAGCCTGGGCAGAAAAGTCTTTGAGACTCTTAACCACCAGAAAACTGGAAGTGGTGCTGTGGCTCAAATGGTAGAGTGTTCATCTTGAACTGAAGAGCTCAAGGACAGTGCCCAGGCCTAGAGTTCAAGCCCCACAACAGAAGGAGAAGGAGAAGGAGAAGAAAGAGAGAAGGAAGAAAGAAGAAGGAAGCAGCAGCAGCCAGGCTCTGGTGGCTAATATCTGTAATCCTAGCTACTCAGAAAGCTGAGATCTGAGGATCAAGTTTTGCCAGTATAGACAAAAATGTTTGTGAGACTCTCATCTCCAATTAACCACAAAAAAAACCCAAAAGATGAGCTGTGGCTCAAGTGGTAGAGCAAAAGTTAAAGAACAGTACTTAGGCCCAGCAATTCAAGCCCCAAGACCAGTACACAATCACAATAAAAGATGGATCATGGTTATACATCCACTATAGGAAAGAACCAATGAATGATGCAGAAGAAGGAGGGGGAGAATTGTTGAATTAATTTTACCTTTATATTGGCAAGACTAGATAGGATCTAATACAATTAGATTTGGCTTAAGGAGCATGAAGGTAGGGGGCACATTCAAGGACAAACAAATTATATACAGGTGAAAAGATAGGGTGGGAGTTTATGGAAGATTTGTATCATGATTTCCATTTTCTCAGTGAAACAGAAAAAGATATCACAAGCTGTGGGTAAACAAATGAGCTGATAGTATTAAAGGCTGGAGGAAAGAGAAGGTATAAAATAACTGTTTAGGATAAAGAAGGAACAAATAAAATATTTTTTTGTCAGTTTTGGGGCTTCAACTCAGTGCCTGGGTGCTGTCCTTGATCCTCTTTGTGTGCAAAGCTAGCACTCTACCACTTAAGCCACAGCACTACTTCCACTTTTTTTTGGGGGGGGGGGGTCATGGGGCTTGAATTCTGGGCCTAGGCACTGTCCCTGTGCTCTTCTGCTCAAGGCGAGCTCTCTACCACTTTAGCCACAGCACCACTTATGGATTGCTGGAGGTTTATTGGAGATAAGAGTCTCACAGACTTTTCTGCCCGGGCTGGCTTTTAGCTGTGATCCTCAGATCTCAGCCTCCTGAATAACTAGGCTTACAGGCGAGAGCCACCACCGGCACCTGGCTACCACTTCCACTTTTTGAGTGGCTAGTTGGAGATAACAGTCTCTCGAGGACTTTTCTGCCTTAGCTGGCTTTGAACCGAGATCCTCAAATCTCAGCCTCCTGAGTAGCTAGGATTATAGGTGTGAACCCTCAGTGCCCAGCTACAAACAGAAATTTAGTGTAATCCCCAACTAACACTGCCACCATAAGTACAGGAGGCTATACTTCAATATTTCCTAAACTGTTAACAAAAAGTAACAAGATAGCCAGGAGCCGGTGGCTCACGCCTGTAATCCTAGCTACTCAGGAGGCTGAGATGTGAGGATCATGGTTCAAAGCCAACCTGGAGAGGAAAGTCCATGAAACTCTTGTCTCCAATTAACCACCAGAAAACCAGAAGTGGTGCTGTGGCTCAAGTGGTAGAGCTATAGCCTTGAGCTGAAGAGCGCAGGGACAGCACACAGGCCCAGAACTCAAGCCCCATGACCCCCCCCCAAAAAAAGTAACAAAGTGCTCATTGAACTTACATGACTGATAGCTAAGTCATATTATCTATCAATCACTGCATCTCTTCTTTTGTAAATTTTCTGCTTTTGTCCTTTATAGCCCATTATTGTGGCATTTAGTAAAGTTTGTGTGAATCCTAAGATATAAAGAGTATTTCAACAACTCAATTTTTATGTATTTTTAAAAATTTTAAATGGTGCAACAGGTCCACCTGTATCTTTAAACAACTGGTTTTTCCCCATCTCCTCCTCAAGTTATACTGACATCAAATATAGTGAAAGCAGGGGTTATACTGTGGGGGAGGGACATACAAAGCAACAAAGAGATAATCTTATAAGT